GAGTCACCCACAATCAGAGTTTCAGGCCCAGTCGTCAGCTTTCCCTCTAGCCTTTTACTTTTGGAGTAGCTATTGGTCCTTACCCTGCTGCGTGAAGAGGACAGGTTATCCAGGTCATCAGAAAGAGATATCCGGTTCTCCGTCTATTTACGAAGAATAACTGTCCCAGTGATAGGTTAATGTCCAGGAGCCGCTGCTCGAAGTTTTCAGAAAAGAAAAATAGAAAAACAGCATAAAAAAGTAAGCAGAGGCAAGAGCAAGCAGAAAAGCGTCTGCACTGTAAGAAGGCTACACCACAGACACACAGTTGAAAGGTGCTACATAAATAAACTTGCCTTGCCTAAGGTCTGCTGCATGTTTTGTTGAATGTGTTATATTTTATGAAAACATTTAAATAATAAGAGTACATACAAAATAGGGGGAAAGTAGAAGGTCAATGATAGAAATATAGAATAGAAACATATCAAGAAGATACTGTAAATGATATCTAGAATACAATTGTTTAGTGCCAGATGTACAAAGATATTAATAGGAGGATGTGTCCCGTAGATGTCTTCGCGGCTGGACTGTTAGCACAGCGTGAAAATACCGCCGCCGATGGGAATATATTGCAATCAGTTGAAAGCTCTTTGCGTCCGTTTATGAAGCTGAAGGAGACTTGGCACGTCACAACTGCACGCCAAAGGACCCTGACCAAGCGTCGCTATTGGACTATCAGGGAGTAAGACTGTGTTGTTGTTTTTTTCTAAATTCTTCACTCACTAAAGCCCTGCTGGTGTTTGCATTGTGCCCAGAATATGGGCTGACTCTCCTCGGGCCTGCGAATGCAGAATGCCCGAGAAGCGAGGGGGGGTGACGGTGACTTGGAGTCTGTAGCTCCGTGTAACTGTCTTGAGAAACCCAAGCAGATGTCGTGAGCATCTCCCGCTGTATGCTCCTTAGAGCCAGCTGAGATGTCACGTCTCTTCCCCTCTGAGTCTCTATTTGTTGTGTTATGGGGCCCTCCAGTGTCTGAGCACTGTGGTGCCCCATTTCGACAATCCCCACCGACACTGCGCATGCGCGTGACGGTGGTGCCCTTACGGCTCCAGCCGGCACTGCGCATGCGCGTGACGGTGGTGCCTTCACAACCCCAGCCGGCACTGCGCATGCGCGTGACGGTGGTGCCTTTACAGCTCCAGCTGGCACTGCACATGCGCGTGACGGTGGTGCCTTCACGACCCCAGCCGGCACTGCGCATGCGCGTGACGGTGGTGCCTTTACAGCCCCACACGGAGACAAATGTCTGTGACCGCGGCCAACTCGTCCAGAACGGCCGGTCCAGGATTACTCGACATATCCTCACAGAGCTCCGCTTGGTATGCGGTTAGCAGTGAGGAAACGTTCAGAGCCCTGGCGGACAACGCTGCGGCTCTGTAGGACCGTTCAGTCATGGTCGACTGGAAACGGTCCACCTTCGCTGGCAGCGTGGGGTTCCTGCTTGGTGACGGGCCCATCCTCGGTAGGAGGTGGGCTGCCACCAGCAGTTCCATCGGCGGTATGTGGAGCAGGCCGAGCCTCTCCATACCGTCGCAGTCTAGGGAGGAGGCACCCTGGATTGGGGCCTTGTTGCTAAAGGGTCGGTCCCTCCACGAGACCGACACCTAATCCAACATCTCCGGGAGGAGTTGCCTCCTTGTCCTCGTTGCTTGGGGAGAATGTTTCCCCTCGTAACGGGACCTGGCGGTCTCCTTGGCCATTTCGGGCCACGGGATGTCTAGCCTGGACGCAGCGCGCTGACACGCGGCCTGCAGGTCCATGCTCAGACAGGGCGAAGCTGGTGTGCTATCGCCCGGGAGAGCAGCCATCGCTCCCGGCTTTGCCGTTTGAGCCGATGACATGAAGATATCTTCTTCTTGCTCATCCGAATCAGACAGGAGGAACTCAGAGGTGTCCTCTTCGTCCTCCATGTAGTCTAATTCCAGGACATCCTCCGCGGGCGAGACCATAGTGAGGTCTCGCCGGGAGCTCCCGCCTGGTGAGGCGTGGGGCTCCGTTCCCGCGTCTCTTGCCGCCACCGCCACCGGCCTGACACGGCGTGGGATCCCGGTTCCGCAGCTGCCGCTGTTAGTGAGCCCCAGACCGACACAGTGAGGGGCTCAGTCTCTGCGGCGGACGCCCCTGTGTCTTGATTGCCAAACGGCGAATCAGTGGACATGAGGGAGTCCTGTTCCAACAAGCTAGCTTGGTGTGATAGCCGTCGGTGGAGGATCTTTCGGGTGAAACGGGCACAATGCCCGCACGAGCCGGGGTTGTCGATAGCCTCCTGGGCGTGTTCCAGCCCGAGGCAGGACGAGCAGACCTGGTGTGAGTCTGTGCCTGCTATCTTCAACCCGCAGCCGCATGACCGAGCCTCCGAGTCCCTGACTCCTCTGGTGTGAGGGGGAGAGGCGTCCATCTTGTTCGCCTCGTGGCGTGGAGAGGACCCGCTCGTAACAGGTATGTCGTTGAGAGAAAAAGTGTTACCAACCCGTCCTTAATCCGGAGAAAAAGGGACGGTGTGGGTCCTTTGTTCTCAAAGAATATTGACTGGTGTGTCAATATACTTCTAATCCTTTTCTCCTCCGTGAGAGAGAAAAAGAAAAGCGTCCTCGCTACCGTGGTGTCGGTAGTAAGGGGAAGCTAGCTAGCAACAGGTGCGTTGATAGCTTGAGAAAAATCAAAACCGTACCTTACTTTCCGGGGAAAGAAACTGCGAGGTCAATTTTAATACTAACTGGCGTTAGTATTACCGTCTTCTTGCGAAGCAGAAGGAGTAGCCGGCGAGCGCCCGTCGACCGAAATGGTTATATTTGGGTTCAGTCTGTGGACCGTTAAGCTTGTCCGGCTACTATAGAGATGTGCTCTGAAGCGAGAAGAGGTGTTTGAATGACGCATGCGTCGTGGTGCAAGCTACTTATAGGGGGTGAATTCCCTGACGCTGACGTCAAGATCACCAGCCAATCAGGATTGGCGTAATGAGATTGATGCTTCTGTTTGCTCCGCGATGAGGCGCATCCCATAGTGAGACATCGAACGGAGTGTTATGAATGAGAACAGTGAATGTCATGCAGCAGACAGTAATGGCTAATATGTCCACGCAGTGATATGCTATAAACAGAAGTTTTTTATCATCACACTACATCTCTCCACAGCACAGACTGCTAATGGCGCGTTTCCACTGCAGGCCTCGCTCGGCCTCGCTCGGTTTGGTTAGGCCTTATTAGGCCTGGCTCACTTTAATGCTGCGCTTCCATTACAGTTTAGGAACTGGGGCAGTTACTATAGTAACGCAGTGTAGGCGGAGCCGTGACGTCATCTTCAATGAGAGCCCCAGAAAACAACACAGCCGTTAGCTCTTAGCACTCAGAGCTCACAGCTCTTCATATCTGTTCAGAAACTAGATAAAAGTTAAACAAGTACAAACCACAGACTGTCTGTGTCATGGTGAATACAGTCGCTGGTTTATTTATGTCTGTATAGGCCGTTGTTGTGAGTGTGGACGGTCGGAGCATATATAACGTTAGCTTAGCCAAGCTCCATTTAGAAAGCACGCATTTTAAAAGGGTTTTTCGCCTGCCGTCTGTCTGCAGACTTGTCAAAGCATTAATTCATGGTTTTTACTAACCGGTATCAGTATGTTGTTACTTCGGCATCATTTTGAAACGTGTATTACAATTAAATCACGGTCAAATATGTTCATCTTGTTGTAGTTGTAGCCCTGCCAGCGATTCTCTCTCTAGTTTAGCATACTCAGCCCGACTCAGCCTGGTTGTTCCTTGCCCTAGAACCACGATTTATTCGGGCCAGAAAAAAAGGTGAAAAAGTAGCCCCGGGCCGAAACTAGGCCAAGTGGAAACGCAACCAAAAACGGGCCCCGCACGGCTCGGCACGCTTAAAGCGAGCTACCCGCTGCAGTGGAAACGCGCCATAAGTGTACTAAACACTGTAGCCCCGGGATTAATCCCTGTATCTGCCGTCCCTGTCTTTCCCTCATCCTCTTCTGCTCAAGTTATTTCTCTGCCTAAAGTTCAAAAGCAGGTGTGACATTGCTTCGTTTTTGCTCTTCATTTGTTAAAGACATAAACAGTGGCTTCTTAAGAGTCCTTTTTAATAAGTGTTCAAGGCCTAGGTTACCATATTTCTAAACTGCTGTGTTTCCTGCAAGGTTCTCTTTTGAAATTTGCATTTAAACACGAGGTGTGCCTGTTAGACGCTTGTCTGGAAATGTGAGTGAGAGTGCTGCAGTACTCTGGGAGAGGGCTGTTAGGGCGCACATGTAGTGAACTTAGGCCACAGTCATTTACATTGGAGGCGGTCAGAGCCACCATCATTTTTCTTTGATTGTGGGGCAGAATGTGCACATAGTGGGAGTGTAGAGGTTCATCAGGGGTTGAGGAATGTATAATTTACATAGAAAGGACTGAAACTTAAATCCTTAATACCCGTGAACAGAAACACTTCTGATCATGAATGACGAGTGCAGAAACCCTTCATAAACACAATGGAGTGGATCATTCTGCTCATCATGATTGCAGATAATGCAGACAATTATGTGCTCTTTTTCTTTCCAGTAAAATTATATAATCTTTATTCAATTTTGACATGATTTGCTGTTTCCACGAGAAGACGTTTAGCTTGGCTTATTGTAAAGACTTTCAAAACCACTTGTTTAACACTTATTTTTGCTTAGTTAAATGTAACCATAATCCTTATAGCCATATTTAGTGAACATGAAAGTGGTATTGACGTTCGTGGCAAGAACATACAAGTACAAATATTTCCTCATAACAATAGATGTATTGCCTTAATCCTAACCCTAACCACAAAGCTTCCAAGACACTTGAAGCCTTTGGAAGTGAACCATCAATGAACAAGTCCTGTCAGTGAATACAATGTTTGAATGATTAATAAAATGTTGGCAACAGGTTTTGGGGGTAATTTGAATCCCGTTGTTCATCCTTATTTTCTTTTTTCAACAGTGGCCATGGCTATTAACCATGAAGCTGGAGCCAGACCCTCCCATCGCTTCCTTCCGTCAAACAGAGCCTCTCTGGTGCTATATTGAACACACACTCTCTGAGTATGCCATCCAAGTGTGAGAAAGCCCAACGGACCGCTTAACACCCGCTGTAAGTACCAACACACTCTGACACCACAGTGTTAGCTTTTGAGTGTTTACTCATGACACTCACACCAAGTCAAACCCAACCAGAGCAACTCATCCTCAGCTCCAATATCCCAACGACTCATTACCGAATTATGCAGCTGCTGTTCAAATATTGTAGTAAGGTATCTCACTCACCCTCTGCACATATGGTGCACACGTTTGCAGAGGGTGAGTGTCTTACATTTTTTTTCAAAAATGTCCATGTCTCTCTTGACATACGTTTTGACCTGCTGTAGGTCAGTGCTCACAATTAATTTAATTGGCAAGCCTGAAATGTATTTACACAAATGACATATTTGCATATATTATACCTCCTATAGGCAGAACCACAAACCTGGCAGCTAGCATTAATACACTGTATAATTTATTCAGAATCCGACTTAAATGTATTCATCATACATAAAGTTGTGTTCATTATGCATACAGGTAATTTGTTGAATGGGCCATGCACATCAAATTATATCTGATATTCTTTGAAGAGCTACCTACAATTTAGTCCGGCTAATGGTTGTTGAACCATTTTTACAGAATCTGCACTTGACATTTTTGTAACATGTGAAAGGAGTTTCAAGAGCTAGTCTAGATCAAGAGATACAAAGAGCTTTTGTCAGTACATGTGTCATCTTACTAAAGAGTGGTGTTGTGAATCCTCACACACTGTATGTATTGTGCTACAGTAATACTAAGACCTTTAACAAAGAAAAGTGTAGTGCTTAGCTTGGTACCATGAGTTTTCAAAGGCCATCAGAACAGGTGTCAGTGGTGTCCCTGCAGACAAAAAGAACATCATGTATATCAGTGTGCGAGCACTTGATATCAACAACCTCACTTCACTCTGCGGGAATGTGCGTGGACATAATCAGTGATCATCAGGTGATATGAAAGAGCCGCAACTTCATTTCAGATATGGTTCTGGACAGTATCGCTATGGTGAGGAGGGAGAGCTCTTGACAGTGTTTTGGTGGAACAGCATCAAACAGTAGTGTGGTGTGTGTTTGTGTGTGTGTGTGTGTGTGTGTGTGTGTGTGTGTGTGTGTGTGTGTGTGTGTGTGTGTGTGTGTGTGTGTGTGTGTGTGTGTGTGTGTGTGTGTGTGTGTGTGTGTGTGTGTGTGTGTGTGTGTGTGTGTGTAGACGTCTGTGTGCGGTTGTCTGTCTAACTGCATATCTGTTGCTCTCATTTGCATCTGAGTTCATTCCATTTGTGTATGTGTGTCTAAGTGGCTGCATATTCATCCGTCTACTTTATTTTCCTTTGTGTTTGTTGGCGCTCTCCCCCCCCCCCCCCCTCAAAGGACTGTCAGGTCAGTGTTGTGTCAAGCCAGCCAAATTCCTGGCACAGATTAACAGGAGAGTGCAGCGCCAGCCTTTGAGGGCAAGAGTAGTGGGAGCAGTCGCACCAATTAGGAACCGGCAACCCGGGCCACCCAGCCCAACGCTTACCCTGGCTGGCTCAAGATAACAGAGCCGACACACATGCTCAGACAGATAGGCACGCACAGGGAATGCTGCATACCCACTCATAACTTTGTAGCTTATACATATGCAACACAGTGCCGAACATCATCCATTAGCTGCAACCGGGACCTGAGAGTGCTGCTAGAAGTGTCAAATATGCATGAGGGAGTGGAGGTCTATGTCCCATAATCCTCCAGGCAATTAATACAATTGTTTCCAAGGCCAAGCACCATAGATGCACACATCAAACCTCTCCCTGGGCTCAGAGAATTTTTTAGACAGACTAATTTACAGGTACGCTGGTCAGAGGCTTGCTTTTGTGGATTGGAGCTGTCTCGAAGCCGACGGCGGGCCATGCATTGAGAATTGTCCGCAATGAGGAATGAGGCTTTGGGGACAGAACACTCACAGTGGAAATACCCGGTTGCAAAATCTGTATTTAAACATGAAAAGTTGTTTCTGCTCTGCAGATTGGATCGGATCCGTAATTGAGCGGTGATTGCTTGAATTGCTGAGCCGAAGTAATACGAGATTAATCATGCACGTGTTTGGAGAGAAAATAACTCTTTTGAAATGTGAACCATCGTCACATAACAAACACGTTATTTGTAGACTCAGAATTCAATTTAATTTTTATGTATCCAACTGTTTTCGTTGCATCGAAAGTGTCGTGGACTTCCGTATATATTGCAAAGCATTTAATTCTACCTTGCTTTTTGTTGTTGCTTCTGCAGATGTTTTTAGCCTTCAGTCAGATATTGATTGAAATGTTCAGCCTAGTGTGAGGAGAGGGGTGGTGTATACGGTCGGTGGGGAAGCAGTATTGATTGCTCTTAAAGTGACAAGATTGAGGAGGCCCACTTTGACATGTTATGCCTATTGCCGCCAACAGACGAATTGTGGACCAAAGAAGCAGCGCCGATTGATTTATATGATCATGAATGGCGTGAGACCTATGAATCAGTCGCCCGAGCAATGGGGCTTGAAAATTACTCAACAATTTTTCATAGCGCTGTGGTAATGTAAGGACTGACAGCCTGCTTGATTTAATAGGACAAGTAAATGCTATGGTAATCAATAGGCCTCATGCACATTCTGATAAAAGTCCTGGCTATAATAACCCAACATGTAATATATCTGAGACGGTGGGTATAGCCTGTTCAGACATATATGGGATTTTCTTGTGCATAATTCACCGGCAAGGCATGAAGCTGATATAGCCTCTCCACCCTCTTATGATCATCCATCAGGTAAAATTGCTTTCTTCTAACATTAGGCTGTCAACGAGAAATAACAAATGTAGCCATGCAGAGCAACACATGATTACAGGGTAATAATGCCCCGAGGTCAGAGGAATGTGACCTCATTCAGAGCCGCCTGTTGAAAGTACTAGTCGCGTAAGAGTCACCAGAGGATTGCTCATCTTGATCCGGAGTGTTTGCTGTCAGACGCCCTGTACTTCTCCGATGCCTGTTTTTTAACAGCAGAAATGTTTTATTTAGACCATGATGTTCTTTAAAGAAAAACACTCGAGGACAACATTAACTGGGAAGCATAGAGAAACGTTCAAAAGCATGCCGAAGCGTAACTGAAAACGTTTACGTCACCCTTGTTTCTGGTAGGGCTCTTGGACCATTCCTCAAAAAACATCTCTCGGCGATAGTTGAGGGCTATTTCGGGGCGCGCATTTTCTCTGATTGATATTGTGTAAATCCATCACTATAATCTTCCAGGAAATTGCACAGGCGTCTCCAGAGGTCTAATCGAGATATGGGTGCACTCACATTCTGAGTAGGAGTGAGAACGAGGAGGAAAATTAAGGTGAGGCAAGAGAAATGGAGGAAAGACCTGCACATCTCAAGAACTCAAAATATAGAGACAATCGGCAAGACTAGGGGGTGTTTGATTAAAGGGAAAGAGCACAATTTAATAAGTAAACAACAGGATGGAGTAATCAAATGGAGGGAAAAAAATGACATGCTTCGGTGATCTCCATCCCAGTGTTCCCCTTCCTGTGTGTCACCTGTAGGTTTTTTGGTTCCATGTGCTGCAGAGCCAATTACCCGTGAAAATAAAAGCCAGAAAGCGTGTTGCATGTGATTAACACACACTAAACGATAAGCACCTACTGAATTCAGAAGCTGAAATGTGGATGGAAGGACAAATGTTTTTCAATATATAGTCCAATAATTTCCTGTGATGAGGCTTAGTGCTTTATCTTTATTAGGAATTAATTTGTCTTATTAGTTTTTGAATTAGAGCATTTAATCAAAACACCACATTCTTCGCCCCTACCTAATATTGTGTCAATAATGAAAATGCGATAGCAAGAATAAACTGGGGAGCTGGTATACATGACTCTGTTTTCTTTGTTCAGCATTCAGTGAGGTTCATAACACCAGGTTCTGCACATGCAAACACAGCATGGCGTATCATCGCAGCGTGCACTTGGTTATGTGAATTGTTACTAAGTGAATTGTGAGGTCTAGATGGTATTCTTTTTCGTAAGGAAGGACTCGAAGGACGTTTTAATGAATGGAGCTTGGGGAATGCTTCAGGTGTTTTCTGATGTAGTCACTGAATTATTAAAAAGGAGATTGGTGTACTGTTAATATGGCTATTTCAATCATCAGTGTTTTGACTACTAGACAGTTTGATGTCTCAATGGAAGAAAACAGAAATAAGCACAGTGTGTTTCATGCTCTTTGTATATACAAAAATCCTTCAACCTGCAGACCAAAGCTCAGCTTATGTCCAATAACACCAGCGAGATTGAAACTGGCTGAGAGGCATGTTTCTAGATAAGTTAGATGTGACAGCCCACTCTGCTCAGCCGGGGGTAGCTTTGTGAACACATAATGCAATAATGTGCAAAAGTATTCAGGCAACATTGTTGTGCTGATTCCATCCTTGGTATATTTTATTTGTTACCTACATCTTTCTCACAGCCCCTAATCAAAACACAGGAGGCAATTGGGAATTTATGTGCATACATACATCTTTAATATCACGAGTATGTGATTCTGTGACATGGTAATACATTTGAATCATCTCAGGATTTCAGTGATTCAAATGAGCAGGTTTTGCCAGCGGGGCAGGATTAGCGATGCTCTGCTAAATGTGTGAAGAGAAGCTAAACGGCGTGTAGGATCCTAATCCTATCGTTGTCCGTGTGAATACTTGTAAGGTTGTGTATGTTTTTATGTGTAACCACCTGCATGTAATGAGCATCTGACCATGCGTGGATCATTTCCTTTCTTGGTTTTAATTAGGTTGTAAATGTCAACATATGAACAATTGTCTTCCGCAGTGTGAAGGGTTTGCTCTGCCGGACGAAAGACTGCTGTTCATCTCTTGTCACATGTTGGATCCTCTGACAATTAAAGAATGTGGATTACTCAAAGGTAGGGCCGAGAATAGCTGCTGTCTCTCACTTCCTGAACTCCATTCCTCTTAATATGCATTACAACAAAAGCTGGAGATGCGCGTCCTGGCAACCACCAATTA